CGCCAAGCATGCCCAGGAAGGTACATGAGGCCAATGGGGATTGAACCCATGACCTCCTGAATGCCACTTGCGAGCCTTACCAACTGAGTTAGGCCACTGGATCATTGGCTTTTTTTCACAAACAGCCTTCTTCAACTTATAGAAGGTTCCCCTACTGACCCTGAAGGTCAATGGCAAAAAATAGCACTTGGTGTAGTTAAATAAATAGTAGCTTCTGGATCAATGGCCACGTCTACCCTGTAGTCCCTGACTACGTAATGGAAAGCCCTGCACGTAATTTCCTGAATGGGCAATGGAGTGAGTTACCAGTCGACCATTTTGCCAGAGCTGCTTCAACCCATAGAAGGCAGGATCTGGGTGTAGCGCATTGGGCAGCTTCAAACCGACTGAGGTCATGTTTGGGATACCGAGCCCGGCATTTTTTTTTTTTTTTTTTTTTTTTTTTTAAATAGAAATCCGTCCGCATCAACAGGTAGGAGTGATGATAGGAACATACAATCCTAGCTGTGTTGCCGGGGGCTCCAGTCTAGTATTGGTGGGGAGCTACACCTGCTGGAAAGCGGGTCCAGTGTCCCCTGAGATACAAGGAGTTGGTAAATCAGCACGTGCTGGGAACCGGGCCCAGAGTTTGATGCGCAAAACCTCACACCCCGCTTGTCGTTCCGTACCTAGGAACGCCGATCCGAGTAGTTGGGGGTGTGGCTGAGGATTTTTGGCTGGTGGAGTTGAATCTCCCGGTTGGAACGGGGGATTCTTGTTTCGTACCAAGGCGTTTCTTGGATTCGAGCCGTCGTTGAGGGCATAAGAGAGGTACAAGGGGAGGAGAGAGGTTATTCCGAAACGACACGTTTTGTTCTGTTTCAAAAGCTTATGCTCGGCCAAGGAGACTGAAAGCGACGGGTTACTCGGCCGACCGCTGACAAAAACCAGAAGGAAGGGAAAAAGGACAGGGAGAAGCGGAATTCACTGCTCCTTTCACGCTAACTGTGGCGGCAACCCAGGGGCATGGAACTTTCAGGCCTCGGCGTCCGATTCATCGAGCCCACGCGGGCGTCCCACCGCGGTGTCGCCTGATTTCGACTGGGCTGCGGGAACCCAGGTTCGAAAGTTAGCCGAGAGCATGCCCGCGTTGCTGGAGAGTTCTGGGAATCAAGCCACACCTTTGTATCCCAGGACTAGTCTCCGCCAGGAACACGAATCCCCCTGCCGACACCAGCGGGAGTTAAACTGAGGCCGCCACATGGCATGGGCCGCGGACTAGGGTAACACCGTCAGATCAGTGTAAGGCAGAATTAGGGGAGGGGAGGAGAACCGATCAATCAAAACAAACCCACTCCCCCCTATGTGGCATGCCCTAGCAAGGTTATACAGATGAACCTGCTCGGTTCGTTCAGAGTGTTCCACACATCAGCGTCGCAGTACACGATGTCGTCGTCTGTGATCGGAAAGGACGGTATCACACTGCAGCAGACCGATGAGAGGATCGAGCACGGGCAGTTGCTCGCACTCGTGTTCGCCGAGGCCAAGGCTGACTCCATACAAGTCTCAAAGGGGACTTGCCCCACTCATTGCCTCCGCCGGAGAGCAAGCTCAGAGGTCGTGATCACCAATTAATTATCCGAACGCAGCGGATTAGGGTCGAGTCGCGGAGAGGTCAGCCGCTACGTAGAAGTGTTGGCGACTGATCTTGTGACGAACTACTTTCTGTAACCGTGCGACTTTCTGCGCAAGACTGCCGGGGGGGGGGGGAATACGACAAGTCGAAGGGGTGAGCCGTGGAAAGATGGGTCGGGCGGGCTAGTTGCTTGGATGCCCTCGTTTTCTTCTTGTTTTTGATGGAAGTTGTCGAATAGGTGTCGGGAAAATCCCGAGCCAACGGTTGGATAGTCGCGCTGTGGCGAGCACGAAGAATAACTGTACCATAACTTTTTCTTTTCTTTTCTTGTTCTGCTGTGAGCACTGGGAATTTTGGCGCGATCATCGCGCGGGAATATCGCTCTTGAATTTTTAACTGATGTCGAGCCCCCACGGGCTCTCGGAATTGTTTTTCTTTTCGGAATTTCCTTTTGCAATTAGGACTTAGACTAGGAATTTAGGTACTCTGAATTTTGTCGCGCAGCGTTCGCACGCATCTTGTTGCATGGGGAACTGGGTTCTGGCTAGATCGCGCCTTTAATCTTGTGCAACTGTCGTTTTTGGCGGGCGTGATCGTAACTGTGATCTTTCTTCTTTCTTGGTTCCCCCATGATTGCCCGCCTTCTTCTTCTCCTTCCTCGTCTCGCATACTCTGTTCTAATTGGCCGAAGCGCCTGCATGACCGGATCGATGCGTCGAGTGTGGCTACGACCCCCACTCCGCGGCCTGGCCATGTAGACGTAGGCACTTCCTCTCTTCCTTTCTTGTCCACCTGGGCTTAATCCCATACCTTTCGCGCAGGCATGCATGCTATAAATTTCGCACGCGCGATTAGTTTACTCTCTAAGAATTTCGAGGTTAGCGCGATCAGTGAGGGTCGGCTAACGAGCAAGTTTGGAAGGTAAGTGAGTGCGAGAGTTGGGCGATCCGACGAGCTGGTGTTGGGTATGCGGGGTTGACGTGCGGGGCCGCGACGGACTGTGGCGCACGGGCGAACCTGGCTTGCATGCTTGAACCAAGCGGGGTGAGAACTCTGCGTTGATACGCGGCGACGGACTGCCGGTATCGTGAGTGTTGATGCGAAGCGACAGACTGCCCGCATCGGGAGCAAAGAAAGAGAGAGAGAGAGAGAGAGCGGTTGTGTGGGTGCGGGATAAGGTCCTTTTTCGTTGTTTCTTCTTTCCTTTGTTCATCTGTATAATTTTGATCCTAATATGGCCGGTTTCCTTATCACTACCCTCCTTTTCTGAACTTCGCTTGTACGTTATCTCAGATTTTCCTCGTTGTTTTACTCGGTATGCATTCATGAAATGAATGTAAATTCCCTTTTATTAGCGATCTTTTCGGATGTCCAATCTGTTTGGCGATGGTTGTTTTGTCTCTGACCAATGTTCGCTTGCGTAAGCTATGCGATCAGATCTGACTGGAAATGCTCACTTTGGATGTCTGGGGTCCAATCGTTGATTATCTTGCTCCCTCTTCCCTCCTTTTGCGT